ATCATGACCGGAGCGAAGGCAGAGGCTTTAACCCACTGAGCCACCCAGGCGCCCCCAAACCTGATTTCTTAACACTGATACCAAATACCCTGACTGACATTCTTTTTAAGAGGTTACCAACTAGAGCAAATTAAACTTATAACCAAAATAAAACTGACTGAATAGAACTTTTATTTAACCAAAAAGCATGAATACTCTTTTTGAGAGAACACATTTTTAAAACTTGCAAGGCTTTAAAAAAACAGATTTCCAAAAGATTCTCTGTCATTTATACCAATTCAGCCACTAATATCTTAAACACTACTATGTGATTAGAATACTCAAAATCATAACCTATAAAACCTTCAATCATTGAAGAGATTCAGTAATGTTTACCAACCTGGGGAGACACCAGTATTTATAAAGGTTTTCCAGTAAGGGTCACAATGAAGCATTTCTGGCTATTCCTCAGTTCATGAAATAATTTCAATTAAATCCTCTAGGATTCCAGTTAGTCAAGATTTTAGGAAACTTTTAAGGTATAGCTTTTCTGAAGTAGAACACGACTATTTAATATGATTACTTCAAAGCTTCTCAGTTTTTTTTGATACAGGCATATCTTTGATATAAATCAGTAAACTGCTTTTCATAGTAATCAATGATTTTCAAACTTTCCCCCTTATCTATACCTGAGGGAAAGTTAACCACATAGCATAAGAGTGAATTCTTAATATGACTCTAATAAGAACAAATAACATTTTCCATCATTCCAAACAGACTTTTACTACAGTATCATACAGTATACTGTTACATTAGGTATAGGAGACTGTCAAAAGTAGTCTGTGAGAATAAAACAATTACATTAATGGAGTCTTAGTATTTTGAGATAAGTTTACATGAGTGTTCCCTAAATTGTTAAACAGTTTAAGTGATGATAATTTTTACAACGAAAAAAATAATCTTTTAATAACTACTTATAGTCACTTACATATATTTCTGTTTGCTGCGGTCTAAAATTCCACTGGAGACTTGCATGCACATCTGCATTAAAGGTGACTTTAATAATTCGATCCTTAACAGGCACCATGTTTTCAATCTGGTCTGATGCATGACCTGCTACTGCTGATCCTCCAAGACCAGTAGTCTAGGTATTAAAGATATTAAGAATATTACAGGGTAATATGCCAAATAATACTTTCAGGTGATGGTTTATTGGATAAAAACAAATTTTAAAAACAATTTAGTAATCTAGTAGAAGCCCAATTTATATACTGTCACTGGCCACTTCCTATGAATGTGTCAATGGCTTGACCACCTTTGGGGTGTCAAGGGCCTCTATTTGTTAGAGTCACTTTATTTTTTCAGTAATCACTTGGTTATTGGACATAGTAAAAAAATGAGTCATTTGAGAGAAAGCAGACTCCCCACCGATAATATATAGCTCAGAATTTTAGCTTAACTTTCCAGTAAACATATTTCTACGTATTGCTAGTGTTTCATATACACTACTAGTCATTAACAGAAGTAAAAATTACCCACTCATTAACAGAAGTAAAAATTACCCACGGCCCTATCATTTCAATGAAACTAATTCCATTATCCATAGTCCTATCTGATCCTTTTCCATATCATGATTTTAATAGCATAGATTAGTTTGTAGTTTCACTTCTGTATTCTGCTTTTCTCAAGCATCATAAGTATTTTTCCATGTTGGTAAATGTTTTTGTAATTTTTTTCTGTACTTTGTATAGTATAGCTTTTGTAAATATCATTGGTTAATCAGAAAAACTGATCCCTTTGGCAACTGAATAAATCACAAGACAACAGAATAATCTGTGTCTGACATTTCTTGCCTATCTTCATTGCCATTAATTATCTCCTTATCATCAGAGATGTTTAAAAAGAAAAATCCTTACTTCCAGGGTCATCATTCTTCTGATGCTTGAGGTTGCCAGAATTCTGGTCTCCGGATAATTAATCTGTTACTATACTAGGAAAAAAATACCAAATTTGAGGCTAGGGGAAGACTCCCAGCAAAATGTAGTATTACTATCTTCCATGTATTACACAAGTCAACTAACTGCACTCAACTGCCCTGCAACATTATTGAATTACATTATAAACCTAAAAGCTGCTAGGATAAGCCTTTATCCTGTTTAGTAAGTAAATTCTTCTGCCCATGAGAGCTATAGTGCTTAAGTTTTAAGATGTAACTCCTGAAGAATTTGAGTCACTTGAATAAAGATTCCTTAATGTATTCTGACAGACAGTCTTTGCATATAGATTCTTCAAATTTGCAAATTTGATAATTAGATAACTTAAAAACAGAAAAGGGCAATGAAAATATGTCCTGGGCTCTAGTCTAGTTCTGCTACTAACTAGCTCTAAGAACTGAATAAATCTTACTTTGGGGGGCTATATTTTCTTTTTTTTTTTCTTTTTTTTTTTTTTTTAAGATTTTATTTATTTATTTGACAGACAGAGAGCACAAGTAGGCAGAGAAGCAGGCAGAGAGAGAGGGGAAAGCAGGCTCCCCGCTGAGCAGAGAGCCCAATGTGGGGCTCGATCCCAGGACCCTGGGATCATGACCTGAGCCGAAGGCAGAGGCTTTAACCCACTGAGCCACCCAGGTGCCCCTGGCGGGGCTATATTTTCCACATTCATAAAATGTGTGGTCACTGTATTAAACTTTATATAATTCCTTAATTTTGGCTCTAAAGTTCTGTGACTCCAAAAGTAAAAAAGAGGCTCTTTTGGAAATGTCACCGTGTAACGTCCAACTTGATTTAAGTTTAGGATTACAAATTACAATTTTTACTATCCTGCTCTGCATCTGCACACACACGTACAAAATACTGTCATTCACTTAAGTGTGAAACCGGGGGTTTCTCAACTTTGGCACTAAGGGCATTTCAGGTTGGATAATTCTTTGGGTTTTTCTGGGTTTTTTCGGTGGGGGAGGCAGGGGAAGTGTTTGTCCTGTGCAGTATTGAACGTTCAGCAGCATCCATAGCCTCTACGCACTAGGACATCAGTAGCACCTTCCCTGCTCACCTCCCAAGTTATGACAACAAAAAATGTCTTCAGATGTTACTAAATATTCCCTGAAAATAAAACTGACTCCCTTCTCCCCTCATGGTTTGTGGAGATTTATACTTGCTATTTTGGATTCAGTTTTATGATTTAACTAACTGCTAGTTTGGGGATCCATGCTAGGTCCAGACTGCCCTCTGATTAAAACTAATTCACATTCTATACTCATCCTCCCAAATTAAGCTACTGCATACCCCATGAATACTAATATTTGGAGACTGAAAAGTCCTTTAGATTTTTGCTGTTTTAGTCATTATGGAAAATAGCATGTTCATGTCCAAAAGGAGAAGAGAAGTAAGCGAGGCATTAACAATACTGGCAGTTAACCAGTGATTCCCAAACTTTGCTACACACTGGGATCACCTGACAATCTTTAAAGAGTTACAAATGCCTGACTCCCTCTGGGAGACATTCTGATTTAACTGGTTAGGGATGTGACCTGGGTGTCAGGATTTTTAAAAGCTCTCCAGATGAGCCCCCCTCACAACAAAGTTGGGAGAACCACTATCAAACACTTAGTGAATGACAGGAAGGTAGCTCTCACTTTTATTTCTTAAACAGAAATTCCTGGCCCCTTCCCACACCTAATCAGAATCTCTGGGGTGAGGAAGCCCCAAAAACATATTTATTAAAGAAGCTCCACTAGTGAACCTAATGCCTAGCCAAAACAGCAAACTATTAATTAATTAATTAATTCCTTAATTTTTAAGGAAAATATATGTGAAATACGTAAAGTTTGCCTTTGTTTATGGTTCTCAAATACTAGTCTGCATCAAACACAGCTAGGCGACTTAATTAAAGCACAGATTGCCGCGCCCCTCTCGCAGAGTTTCTGATTCAGTGGCTCTGGAGTTTGACTTGGTAATGTGCACTCAAGCTCCCAGGTGATGGGACGCTGGTTCTCTGGGGGACCACACCTGACGAACTGAATTAGGGTTTCCGATCTAAAAGGGGGCCCTGGGTAAGCAGATTACACTTACGTATCAACCGCGGAGGGAAGCCCCAAATGCCCGACTCATGCCTTTGTGGGGATTAAAAGTACTTCCCGCTTAAGCCCGACTGACAAACATACTCCCACTTCCAGGGTTAACCATCGCACATCAGCCATATATGGTTCACAGAAGCAATGTACTCATGTAACTCACATCTTATAAAAGAACACGTATGTGAGCAGCCAAAGGGTAAGGCAGACTGGTGGAGAGCAAAGTATAGGCTGCGGACGTTTTCAGTAGTGTAGCTCAGAGATAGGCAATTCCACTCCAGTGTGGTCAGGATAAGCACGACTGCTATAGGGGCTTGGGTTCTACTTGTAGCTTTACCACTAACTTCTTCTGGTAAGCCTGGGAAAGTACTTTTTTTTTAGGGGGAGGGCGTACTTTTTAAAGCCTGTTTCCCCTCTGGTAGCCAATCTCAGGCCCTTCCACACAACACGGAGGAGCGATCGCAGCCTAGGGACCTGGCCCGCACCTCCCCGCCCATGACACCGCCCAGGAGGCAGCACCGCCCCCTACCTGGCAATAGAGCCGATAAAGGGGCACGGCGGCGTACGACGCCCCCAGCATGCCCACGGCGGCGGCGGCCACGTACGTGAGGACCGTCTTGTTCCGACGCCGCCAGTCCTCCTCCTGCGCGCGCGTGAAAGGGTTCGTGCTCTTCGGCCGCCGTGGCGGCTGTAGGGCCAGGTCTGGGCCCGGGTTCGGGCGCCTCCATGTCCCAAGCCGCCTCAGCCCCCTCTCAGCACTTCCTGTCCCACTCCTTCTCGGCCTGAGAAACGGCTCTGCGCTCTCGGCAACTTTAGTCGGGGACCCAGGGTGACTCCAGCGCCAGCCACAGACGGTGACGCGCCTCCATGCCCCATGCCAGAGTCCTCCCATAGCGCCCAGAGAGAGCTCCTGGCATCGGAGACGAGAAGACAGATCTCGCGATGCCTGGCCAGTCTCGCGACAACTGGGAGGAGCGTGCCGCTGCTCTGGCTACAGGACTCCTCAGGTGGTGGCGCTGGCAGTCGGGCTACGGAGGCCGGGTTACCAGATTACGGGTAGGTTCGCGTTTTGCTCCATGACTGTTCCTCCCACTTTGCTTCCTTCCAGTGCTTTTCAAAGTTACTTTTAGGGAAACGCCATGCGCTCCGCGGGGTGCAAACACATCACTCTTTGAGCTTGTGTCCCAGGTCTTCTTAAACTCACTGCACCATCTTTTGTCTCGACCTAGCGGCCCTCAGCTTCCTATCGCTGCTTACTGCCCTGGACTTGAGCTCAGGGATCACCTCCTCCAGGAAGCCTGCCTGTGTTCACCACAGCGCACAACTACACTTGCACATCTGCATTTTCTCAGCCGCTGGGAATCGGCTGCCTCGTCGCTGATGCCCCTTAACCATTTGTTCAGTTAAAATAACCAGTTCTGGAGCAGAGACGTTGTCAAACGAGTTTGTCCAGAGGAGAATGACCAAGGCATGAAGATGCTTTAAGGAAGGATTGAAAGAAATGGGGATATTCATCTTGGCAAAGAACCCTTTGGGGGATGTAATACCTTTTTCGCTTGATGCACAGGACAAAGTAGGACCTCAGGGGAGCAGACGGCACAGCCTGTTTTGCTGTAATGGAAGGAAACATCCTTCTAGAAACTATCAAAGAGTGGAGAAAAGCCCACATTCTGAGGTTCAGCTCTGGTGTCCCACTATCACCTTGTGTCCTTAGGCCAGTTATTTCACCTTTGTAAGAAGTGGCGGCCTTATTAGTAAAATCGAAATCATAATAGTATGAGAATATGCATATAAAGTGATTTTTCACTCTCCTTGAGATATAGTAAAAATTTAGTAAATGTTAGTCTCTATTTCTAATGAGTGGTGCAGGTATAATTATCCCCTTTTTTAACAGATGAGGAGACTCAAAGCCTGAGACATATATAAATAACATTAATAAAAAAAACACAATTTATTTATTGTACTTTTCTATGGCCTAGACCTAGCTCAAGCTACTGGGACTACAGCACAGAGAAAGGCAAACACGATCACTTCTCTTCTGAAGTGTACTTCCTCCTGGGGGACTCTGGAGATAATCAAGTAACAGATATATAAATGAGGGAATTTCAGATAACAATCAGTACAGTGAGACAATAGAAGAGGATAGTGTGATTGAGAATAATAATGAGAAGGGGTGGTGAAGTCTTTCTGAAAATGTGACATTTGAGCCTAGTCCTGAATCATGATAAGGAACCTACCTGCACAATGACAGTTCTAAGCCGTGCAGAGGCCCAGAGGCAGGTAAGAGCTAGATAGCACTGAAGAGCAAATGAGGCCACTGTGTTCCTAGCATAGTGAGCTTGGAGGAAAGTAGTAGGAAATAAGGTCAAAAAGGTATTATTAGGGGCCAGATAATACAGAGCCTTTTAAGAGCCTTACGTGTCCAAGGGTTTGAATTTTATTCTAAAAGTAATCGGAAGGTACTACAGAGTTTAGGTTGAAGCATACAAGTGATATGATCTGATTCACATTTTTAAAAAAGATTTTTATTTATTTATTTGACAGAGATCACAAGCAGGCAGAGGCAGGCAGAGAGAGAAGGAGGGGAAGCAGGCTCCTGCTGAGCAAAGAGCCCCATGTGGGGCTCGATATGGGGCTCGATATGGGGCTTGATCCCAGGACCCTGGGATCATGAACTGAGCCGAAGGCAGAGGCTTTAACCCACTGGACCACCCAGGTGCCCCTGATTCACACTTTTTTTTAAAAGACCTTGGTTATGCTGTGGAGAACCCATTAAAGGGAGGGGGTAAAAATGGAAATAGAGCAGTTAGGAGGCAGTTGAGGTGAGTAATGGTGGTCACCTTGAGTGAGTATGAGTAATTGATTAACTTGTAGTCACAGGGCCAGAAAATTGCAAAGCCACTAAGATGCAGGTATCTTCGGACTCGATCCTGCTGTGGCACAAAAACCAAGATGCTATGATTCTGCAGATTTATTTGTATTGTTTTATGTTTGAAAATCTTTTCACCTGTACTTACCTTAGTTCTTATACCAGATTGTCAGCTTTTTCAGGACAAGACCTGTCATATATTGAGTTTCTTAACAGCATAGTCTCAGACCTGATGCAAACATTAATGTCATTGAAACCAACAATACATTCCCTTAACCATTTTTTTCCTCCAGGCACCCCTTCCATGTAGCATCAGGTAGCGGTATAAACGTATCAGTAATAGTGTCTTTGTCTTGGCATCTGTCACGTTGTTTTGTAATTACAAATGAAACTATTCCTTTCCAAGGTCATCTTGATAGCAGTAAAATGGTATTAGCTATAATTCTCTTGAGTCTGAGTATGCTTGTGATATTGCATAAATCATTATGATAACTAATGCTAAGTAATGAGTTCTACCGTGAATGGAATAGGAGCACCTCAGGGCAAGGTTAGTACAACCCTGTTCTGCAGGTAGAGATGTTGATTACAGACTTAAAATATCAGAGGCTGGACTGACATTTCAGACTTGGCACCTTTAATTTATATCATTCTTTAGCAGTAAGTAACTAAACATTGTGAACCCTTCCTAGTTAGCTATGATCGTGTCCAGTTTTACATAATAGGTAAAATTGGTTGTTACACAAACCATTTGGGGGGCTGGAGGTGAGCAAAATGGGTGAAGGTGGGAAAAGAGGGAAAAAAATGGGGGAAAAAAAGAGAAACCATTTGATAGTCACGCATTTTCTTCTTCTTTTTTTTTTTATATATTTTTAAAGGTTTTATTTATTTATGTGAGAGAGAGTGAGTGAGAAAGCACAAGATGGGGAGAGTAGGGGGAGAAGCAGTTTCCCTGCTAAGCTGAAACCCCATGCCCCATTCAACTCCTTCAGGACTCCATCCTGAGACTCCAGAATCATGACCTGAGCGGAAGGCAGACTCTTACAGGCTGAATCACCCAAGCCCCCGATAGTCAAACATTTTCTTATCTGATTATTGGTTCTCAGGCTTTATGAAAACTTAAAGATTATGAAGATGTATCACGTTAAAAATGTGGTTTGTAATTACATTTTTTAGTATTTTTAATGCGTATTATAAACTAAGGAAATTTCTAGTTAAATCTTAATGTGTTAGTCACATAGCTGCATTTCTTAGCTATTTGCCTAATAAAACTAGATCCACTTGGCAATGTGAACCACCTAGCAGTTATTCCAAAAGTACTAACAACTCTTATTCGGCTTCTATATAATAATCTCCTTATACCTATAAGAGGAAGAATTATGCATCTCAATAAGTAGTAAGAACAAGTGAGTTATAGTTTGTTTGAGAATAAGCTGGATCATCACAGTTTTTAGTGATTGTAATGACATCATGAAGTTGTCTCAGTAAGTCTTGATATCCTAGTTTCTTATTTCCTGGCAGCTTCCTTTAAGCCACATGTTTGAGGAGCTACTCTATTTAAAAGATCTTGGAAAAGTTTATAAATTTGATAGACCAGGTGAAATGAGAGCAGAAATCATCCATCCATAGAAGGCATTTTAAAAAATAAATGTTTATTAAGATGAGGGCCAGCCTTGTGGATAGGTGACCTGTGTAGTCACATAAGAGCCTCCTTTTAAAAGGGCACTTTTGCCCCAAATAGAGGGAATGACATTTTAAAATTTTTTATTTTATTTTTTTATAAAAGATTTTATTTATTTATTTGACAGAGATCACAACTAGGCGGAGAGGCAGTCAGAGACAGAGATGGGGGAGAAGTAGCCTCCCTGCTGAGCAGAGAGGCCAATGCGGGGGCTCAATCCCAGGACCCTGAGACAAAGGCAGAGGCTTTAACCCACTGAGCCACCCAGGCACCCCCGGAATGAGATTTTAACATAATTCAGGATAAAGCCATGTCAGCCTTCCTGAGATAAGCAGAGTTAAAGGCAGAAGCAGAAAACCAGGGAAAATGCAAAAGCAGAGAGCTGAATCTCAGGAAGTGAAAGGTAAGAGATAAGGCAAAAGGCAAACTCAGGTGTCCTGAGAATAGTCAGGATATATGAAATAACATCAAACAAAATCCAGGCTCCTTACCGTGGCCCTAAGACCCTAGGTTGGTTAGACCCTGCCTGCTTCCTGAATTTTATCTACTATTTCTCTCCCCCCCATTCACCATGTTCCAGCCACACTTCTTTCTTTCTTTCTTCTTTCACACACACTTTCTGTAAACACCCCAAACCTATTTTGCTTCCTTGAGACCTTTTCTCTGCCTGGAACACTTTTGTTCCTCAGTTTTTCTCCTGGCTGACCTATCATTTGGATCTCAGCCGGAACACCACTACCCAATCTAAATCAGCCCTTCTCTGTCCAGTCACATTTATGTATCAGAAATCCAGCTTGTTTTGTTGTTTCCTTTTTTAGTATTTTTTCTCTCAACACTAGAATATAGATGCCATAAGAGCAGGGACCTTCTCTGGTACACCATATTATCACAAGCACTCAGCATAGTGCACATGGTTGTACTGAGTAAAATGTTTGGGGGACGACTGCACCAGTGAAAGCAAGCAGAAGGCCGACTGCTAATGTAGGGAAACTTCCGAGAGCCGTGAGCTCTTGCTCTGATGAAGATCGCCTGAAATTAGGACTCCTCCTTTCAAGCAGTTTTCCAGTGTTTCCCACAGGGCTGTGGGTGTGTTACAGGCTGGTTGCTATGTGTCTACCCCCAGGGCAAATGAGCAGCATTCCTGAACTACTTAGTTTTTTGTTTTGTTTTGTTTTGTTTTGTTTTTTGCTTAGATTCTTGGAAGAAAAAAAGTTCATTAGCAGTAGGAATATTGTCTTTGGCTACAAAATAAAGGAGATAGTAAAATAAGCCTTTGATCTTTTATACCTTGATTTTCTAAAACTTTCATGTAATTTTTAAAAAAGATTTTATTTATTTATTTGACACACAGAGAGAGATCACAGCAGGCAGAGAGGCAGGCAGAGAGAGAGAGGGGGGAAGCAGGCTCTCTGCAGAGCAGAGTCTGATGCGGGGCTCAATCGCAGGACCCCGAGACCATGACCCAAGCTGAAGGCAGAGGCCCAACCCACTGAGCCTCCCAGGTGCCCC